ATCTTTCTTCTATCATTGACAGTCCCTCTAGGTTGTGGGCTGCTTGCCTGTGTTCCTGAGAAGCATCTACGGTACCAGTCTATAGAGTGTGTTTTCTTTAGTGAATTACCGGTATGTTTACCGGTAATAAACTTGCACTGTTTTATGTATATGTTTGATTACATACAGCCTTGTGACAGTTTTCCTGCATGTCATAAGCATTTGAATATAAATTAAAATGTTAAAATCAAATCTGATATTGTTTTACCTTTTATTTGGTGTGTGGAAGGTGTGCGGAAGAGGGGGTAGTCTTATACGGCGAGTATATAACAAACTCTGTATTTTGAGTGGAAATGTTAGGGGGTCGTCTTATACGCCCAGTCGTCTTATACGCCGGCAAATACGGTAGTTCCGTCAAGGTGGGGTTTACATTTGTTTCTTGCTCTCTGTGTTCTGGGATGATTTCTGAAAAAAGAAACCAGTATTTGGGGGCGTGGGGCAAAATCTAAGTCCCTACGATGCTATCCGAGAACCAGAAGCCAGACGGCACACTTTCCAGAGGCAGGTGGGACATGCCGTGCTCCCCACTCGAGAAAAGTGAGTCTTAGTCCGGATTGTGTCACTCCCTAGGGACTGATACAGTAAGTTTTAATGTAATTTAATTATGACAGATTCTCTGAAGGTATAAACTTGTTTCCACATAGTAGTTTGACTAACATCCATGACCCTCTCTTGCTTTACCTATCAACTATTCCACAGCAAACCGCGGATTCTCAATTGGGATTGGTGACGTCACACCTGGTCAAGGGCTGCTAAAGGCCAAGTATGAGTTGTTGAATGCTGGCTACAAAAAGTGTGATGAGTACATCGAAGCCCTAAACACGGGCAAGCTGCAGCAGCAGCCTGGCTGCACTGCGGAGGAGACGCTGGAGGTGAGTCTGGCTCTTCGGGCGATCAGTTCCACCTCTATGTGCTCCTAGGATGTGCTGTCAGCTACAGAGAGAAGGTAGTAGAGGGGAGAGGGAAGCAGAGGCAGTGGCTCAGCCTCGTCTTGGCCCTGTGCTGCTTGTGTGCGTTTGATGAGGGGAGGGCCTTCGATCAGGCCCCTTACATCCCTCTCAGCTGTCACATTCTAGGTAGTGAAGACACAGCCCTATCTTCATTTGGCCACCTGGGCTGCTTGTGTAGAGACATCACACTTGGCCCTTCTGGAGCTGGTAAAGTGCTTCTGCCCTATCTGTTTCCCACATCCTTCGCCTAGAGCAGGGGTTCTCAACCTGTGGGTCGCGACCCCTTTGGCGGTCCAACGACCCTTTCACAGGGGTCGCCTAAGACCATCCTGCATATCAGATATTTACATTACGATCCATAGCAGTAGCAACATTAGAGTTATGAAGTAGCAACGAAAATAATTTTATTTTCCACAACATGAGGAACTGTATTTAAAGGGCCAGAAGGTTGAGAACCACTTGACTAGAGGCTGGCACTGCCACTGTTTAAATGGATGGTCTTTGAAAGAGACTTGGGTACAGAAGATGGAAAATTTTATCAAGAGCCATTTACCAGAGTGCTGCCCCTCCGCCCGCCCCCCTTGGAAACTAGGTTAGCTGAGAACAGGACCAGCACATGTCAGAGTCGGAATCGCAGCCATCCTTTGAGAGCCCTGCGTGTTCTCTGAAGCAGCCTGGTCAGCAGTCTGTCTCAGCGGGGTTTACCTGGCTCTCCAGAGGAAAGGCTCTTTCAGCAGTAAGAAGTTTTCTGATGAAGTGAATTTTTAAAGCAGGGCTGTGTGAGGTAGTCACTCTTACTATTACTAGCTCAGTCTTTTTTTTTAAATTAAATCTTTATTGTTCAGTGTATTACATTTGTTCCTCTTTTTCCCCCCCATAACTCCCCTCCTCCCAGTTCCCACCCCACCCTCCGTCCTCACTCCCCACCCACTGTCCTCATCCATAGGTGCACGAGTTTTTTCCAGTG